TGTTCTTTCGGCATTAATATCTCAAGTTATAAAATGATTTTCAATAAATACTGAAAATACTGATCTCAAGTTCTCATTTTTTAAATAATATAATAATTTTATTGATGATAAATGTTTCAATATAATATTTTTTAATTTCCTTACAATAAGGTGACACTTTCTGCAACAATAAGTTTAAATTGTGAAATTCCTGTTATGCTAATTAGTTACGTAAAATAAAAAAAATATCTGAAATTTATCTGTAATTTTATTATGTTAAAACCACCCCATCTTTTTAAGAAATTACAATTTTTAATATCAATTAGTTTAAAAAATTGCCAAAAATACTGTAAAATTTGAAAATATATATTTTATTTTATTTTTCTGTAAAATGTATAATAGTTGGTCAGGGAATTTTGAAAAAATTGTCAGGGAAAGTCAGGGAAAAGTCAGGGAATTTTTTCGAACATTTGCAGTGGACACCCTGATTAAGCATTGGGCACTATGGATGTTACCACTGATCCCTAAAAGTATCGCCTGCTGTGTCTAGTTTCAAAAACGTATAACTTCTGGAACTATCTAAGAAAGTAAATACCTACCTACCGCATTATTTATTAATACTGCAGATCGTATGTCGAGCATCTATTGAGTGTGGCGCCGTTCCGCCGGTAAATTATTGATTCTTGCTTAAAGACGTTTCATAAGGTGCAATTATAAGACAATGTCTAAGGATGTTGTCGATGTGCTATACTTTTGGACTTACCAACGTACTTTATAAGATGTATCATGATTCTTGTACATCTGCATGTGTGCTTCTGCAGTTACGTTACACGTAATAAATATCCACGAATTTAATAGAAGCAGATAATGCGTTTTACAGTTGGCAGCAATTATTGTTGCAAAATATCATCTTTAACTATGAATCTTGACTGTTCTGAGCTCGACTTTACCTTTCTATTACAAGACCCGCAGAGAAGTCACTGTAAGACCTCATATAAGACAGCAATACTTAAACCTAATGCATCAACCTCCCTGTCGCAAGGATATATACAGGGTGTTTCTTGTAAGGTGTCAAGCCGAAGGCAGGTGATAGGTGAGGACTAGACCTATCGATTTCACCCCCATGTATGTTCTACGATTTTTCGTAGTTTAGAAGTTATCGTTAATTTTGTGATTTTTTCAAATTTTATGACCTAGTAGGCTTTAAACTTTTTTATCTTTTTTTTGGGTTGACTTTTCTCAGATTTCTTTTTTTTGACAGATTCCCTATTAATTGCAAATGTTTGAAAAAAATAATCACCTTCCTATCCTTGATGCAAGATACAATTTTTTTGCTAGAAACATAAAAAATATGTTTTTAGCAGAACATTCTAAAATTTTCAACTTAAAACTTTGAAAAAAAAAAAGAACTTCCATAGGTCCAAAATAATTTTAAAAACTGCGCAGTTTTCTGGACTTTCATAATAACACAAAAAAACATGTACTTAATAGGCCATTTTTTTCTGTAATCGCTCTACTAAAGTGGTAAATCGGAAATTCCGTTACATGTTTTTGACTTTCTTAGGACTAACTAATGCTTTCAATCCCCTAAGTTTACGTTACGTAGAACACATTTAGAGACAATAACTGAACAGAACATTTTTTATCCACAACGAGGAAGCTCTTGCCCTTCATCTGACCTGATGGAAACTGATGGATGATCAGCGAGCTTCACCCGGAATCCTAAACCATACAGGAATTGGCTGTCCTAAATAAGTGGTCTTACCACTAGACCACAGTGGTGATTGTTACTTTACGATTAAATTTGATATACCTACCTATTAAAGTGTGAGAGAAAGGCAAAGAGTTTGTGTGTGCGTGTGTGTGCGTGCGTGTCTGTGTGTGTGTGTGTGTGTGTGTGTGTGTGTGCGCGCGCGTGCGTGCGTGCGTGTGTGTGTGTGAGAGAGAGAGAAGGGTGTAATGATTTAATTTAACGTAAATGTTCAAAATGTCCGCTGTTGACCGTATGCACATTCGACAACGATGCAAAAAAATTCTTCGTAAATTTACAAAAGCTTCTTGCATTCTAATGTGGTTTTGTGCTTCAGTCAGCTTTGTCCGCAGTTCATCAATATTTTCATATTCCCTGTTGTATACCAGATGAAGGGCAAGAGCTTCCTCGTTGTGGATAAAAAAAATGTTCTTTTCAGTTATTGTCTCTAAATGTGTTCTACATAACGTAAACTTAGGGATTGCAAACATCAGTTAGTCCTAAGAAAGACAAAAACATGTAACGGAATCTCCGACTTACCACTTTAGTGGAGCGATTACAGAAAATAATGGCCTATTAAGTACATGTTTTTTTGTGTTATTATGAAAGTTCAGAAAACTGCGCAGTTTTTAAAATTATTTTGGACCTATGGAAGTTCTTTTTTTTTTTCAAACTTTTAAGTTGAAAATTTTAGAATGTTCTGCTAAAAGCATATTTTTTATGTTTCTAGCAAAAATTTTGTATCTTGCATCAAAGATAGGAAGGTGATTATTTTTTTCAAACATCTGAAATTAATAGGGAATCTGTCAAAAAAAAGAAATCTGAGAAAAGTCAACCCAAAAAAAAGATAAAAAAAATTAAAGCCTACTAGGTCATGAAATTTGAAAAAATCACAAAATTAACGATAACTTCTAAACTACGAAAAATCGTAGAACATACATGGGGGTGAAATCGATAGGTCTAGCCCTCACCTATCACCTGCCTTCGGCTTGACACCTTACAAGAAACACCCTGTATAAAAGAAATGCATATAACACGAGTGTAGTTATGTATAATCTACTACCGGAAGAACTTAAAGTACTCCAAGGCCCTATATTTAAAAGCAGATTGACTTGCTGGCTTTTGAACAAATGTTTTTATAGTTATAAGGAATATTTTAATTGGCGACATTGATACTATTAATTTAATTTTACATTGACATTTTCTTAATTATTTGACATTAATACTATTGAATCCTGTAATTTTTGCACGTCTCCGAGCAGACTAAACACATGATCCTATTTAATATGGTCACCCTGTATTACTGTGTTTTTGGCAAATAAACTTTTGAATTTGAATTTGAATTTGAATCTAATATTTTAATTGACACTACTAACATCTGACAAATACTCGTAGCAGCAACTGCAACATCATTTGAACCTATCACAGTTCAATTCATAAACGCAACTGCATCGCAAACTAGTCCTCCAAACCTTGAGACCAAGATTCAGTCTATTTTCGAAGTAATATTACGGCACTCATGTGACAGTCTCACAATAGGTGTACAAACGGCTCACTAACATAATAAACTAGAGAATATTTTACAGAATGTAGCAAAAACGAAGCCTCACATGCTGAAAACTATACTCACTTTGCTTACATCGGCATGCAATATGGCAAGTGTGTTCTCTCGATAACATTTTTAAACGTCAAGCTGGCTCGGGCAATTTATTAAACTGCACACGGAGCTTGAATTAGATTAGAGGACGAGCTGAACACTAATAGGCGCCACTTTGTGATATTTATTTTGTCGCCTGCCCTTTTAGTGTTAGAGAAATCGTATTATGATCTCAAAAATTCTTCATACCACTAATGCTTTAAACTTAAACCAGCTTTTGCCCGCGGCTACACCCGCGTGAAATTTAGTTTGTCACAGGTCGTCCTAAATTATAGCCTTTTATGTTATTCTGGGTTATAAACAATAATACTGTAAAGTTTCATCAAAATCCGTTCAGTAGTTTTTGCGTGAATGAGTAACAAACATGTTAACATCCAGACATCCATACTTACATATTATAAGTAGGATTAGTAGGATATTAATTGGATAATGGTTCTTTTACTGTTAAGTTTAAATGGAAACTTAATTTTAGTAGTTTTACATAATGTGTTTATGGATCTATTTATGGAGTAAATAAGTACAAATGTTTCGATATGGAAGGTGTTTAAAGAATAGACTAGACAATTGAATAAAGTTTGGAGTGCCTGATATCAAAATAACGCGAACGCTCAGCTTTATACTGGAGGGTGTCACAGACACTCGGGCTGTGGCAAGTTAATAAACTAGAAAAATGTTGAGCCTTTATCGTCCAGTGTCATTATTCAGAATCAACACCCATCTAGAATATGCGGCCTATAAATCAATACATGTGCGTTATGAAGTGAGACGTCGTCGCCTCCATTTTTGTTTTATTCCGAAAATAGATCCTATTGATTGTAGTTACTGGCTAATACGGTAATTTATGAAATTTCATAATTAGCGATAAGCTTCACTAGATTACACGAAGAGATTACAATACGGAACTCCCCGCAAACCGCCCTTCACTCGACCAAAAGGGGTGGGCGTCTTCGTGGATGAAACGATCTATACAAATTATGTCTTATTTTTTTATGTGACAGTAGGCAAACGAGCAGACGGATCACCTTATGCTACAATCACATAAAAGAAGTATTATTCGTAGAATATAAAATAAAATAAAATATAGTACCTATCCTTACAAAATATATTAAAATGCAAGTAAAGCGAAATCTCACAGAATCTCCTACGGTGCAGTGCCAAAGGGTATAAAACGATTAAAGCTCTTTTTAGCATGCAGGGTTGCACCCGTCGAAAGGATTAGAGCCAACTTTTTGTACCGCTTTGAACGTTGGACGCTTTGTACTGTTTGTTGAATGCTACAAAGACCAACTAATATTTTGCTGTCGCAGATACTGTTTTCACGTACATTAATTCTATTATGATCTCTGACCTATAAAAATATATCGATAAAACAGTCGAACGCCGAGGTGATAACGCCGAAAATGTAACTTGACTTTATTGATTAGTTATTTTTAGAAACTTCTGCGAATGAAATGTATTATTTGCTGACCTCTTTTATGAGGTGTCCTGAGAAATGGCGCATCGCTGCAGTAGACTGAATTGTGACCGTTGCTGGACGCGTCTAAACAGTCTAGAATAGGGCTTCTCTAGTGTAAATGAAATGCAAGTAACCAATTATTTCTTGCTTTATTTCAGGTTCGAACATGGGACAAAATACAGGCTATTATGAAGTCGGAGGAGGGGTTGGGCATTGAATATGACGAAAATGTTATATGCGATGTCTGCCGGTCTCCGGATTCCGAAGATGGCAATGAAATGGTCTTTTGTGACTCATGCAACATATGCGTGCACCAGGCCTGCTATGGCATAACTGTCATTCCTGATGGTATGTATGGTACTGGTGAGTGTGGCACTCTCAAAGAGTGAAAAATATTAATTAAGACGAGTATAAAACAATGTTTCCCTTTCTCGTTTCCAGGGCAGTGGCTGTGCAGACCGTGCGGCGACGGTGTGCGGCCAACATGCGTCCTGTGCCCGAACCTTGGTGGTGCTATGAAATGTACTCCTTCTGGTCATAAGTGGGCTCACGTTAGCTGTGTACTATGGATCCCCGAAGTGTCAATCGGCTGTGCCGAAAAAATGGAACCTATTACTAAAATATCGTCTATACCAGCATCTCGTTGGTCTCTAGTATGTGTTTTGTGTCGTGAACGCAAGGGAGCGTGTATACAGTGCTCTGTAAAGACTTGTAAGACTGCTTACCACGTAACGTGTGCATTTAAACATGGACTTGAAATGCGTGCAATCATCGAAGATGAAAATGCTGATGATGGTGTAAAGCTACGATCGTATTGTCAAAAACATAGTGTTAATTCTAAAAAAGATAAATGTTCGGGCTCTGGTTCAGAGGAGGAGGAGGTGAAAAGAAAGCGCCGGAAGGATATGACTTCTGAGGAAAAGACTCAAGCTCGTGCTGCTCGCTTGCAGGAAATCGAAAGAGAATTCGATCGACACGTTAGTTTGAAGGATATAAGTTCGCATCTCCTTGATGTGGATCAAGACGCTATACATTACATTTACAACTACTGGAAATTGAAGCGACGAGCAGGGCATAATCGTCCCTTACTACCGCCCAAGACCGACGACAGCGAACTAATGACGCACCGCCAGGAACAAGCTGATCTGGATAAGATGAAAATGTTTGTGCAGTTGAGGCAAGATCTGGAAAGAGTACGTAATTTATGCTATATGGTGAGTAGGAGGGAAAAGCTCTCTCGCTCGTTTTTTCGGATGAGAGAACAAACATTTCATAAACAGGTAGGGGTACTATCGGGTGGTGCAGAGTTAGGAGGTCCTGAATTTGATGCTGTCGTGCAAGCAAATCACGGACCATCAATCTATGACCAACTGTATTCGCACCCTGGTGCACCAAATCATAAAAATAATTTCGAAGAATTACTAGCTCGAATCGCTCCACCTGAAATGGGAGACGATAAAAAGAAAGATAGGAACGGGTTAGTAAAAGGTTCGAAAACGGCAAATCCTTATAAGAAACATTATGTGAATGGCTCTCGCCGCAGTGGCAGTATGTGTAGTGGATTGTCAAGTGAAGAAAGTGCGCCAGAAATGACGCGTTCTGGTAGATATCGTGGCAGAGCCATTTCCAGCACGGATGAAGACGTAAAGAAACCAATTTCTCCAAAGAAAAAGGTTTCACCCAAAACTAAAGCTAAACGATCTCCTAAAAAGCCTGAAAGAAAGAAAAAGAAAGTCCCACAGTCAAAGGCATTGGTTGAAAGTAGTAGCGAGGATGAGGTTATAAGTGCTAGGACAAAGAAAGATCGATCTCGTAGTAAGACTCTTCAACAGATGGAAAAAGAAATGGCGGCTGGCACATTAGGCCAGTCGGCCACAGATAGTGATGAGTTTATGCCTATACGATCAACGAGAAATAGTAAGTTCCCTGTTGACATCTATTCGGATAGCAGTGAAGAGGCAACTCCTACAAAAGCTGATCTCAAAACTAAGGTTAAAACTGAGAAAGTAAAGGTGGAGAAAATTAAAGCAGAAAAGTCGCCAAGCGCTAACGATTCCCAACAGCCATTACCCAGAACTAAAGGAGCTATGAAAGAATTCATTCCGGAACCGGAAAAGAAACCTGTGATTAAGGAAGAAGATAAACCTGCACCTAAGAAAAGGGGTAGGAAACCATCCAATAAAAATATAGCAGACAAAGACAAACAAATCGACAAAAAGCCTCCAGTCAAGGTTACAGAAACCATTGGGGATGAACCGAAACCCAAGGAAAAGGCAGGAAAGCAAAAAGATAATCCTACTGATTTAATTGTGCCCCAAAGACAGGCTGCTAAGAAAGCCTCTGAGAACATGCGCTCAACGACTGCAGTGAAGAAAGAGGAACCACAACAATCCTCTCCTGAAGATCCCAAACTGAAACCTAAAGTGAAATCAAAGGGCAAAGAAGTGAAGGAAACTGCCAGTACGTCGACTGCTACTCCTGCTAAAGTGGGAAGGAAGAAATCTTCTAAAGATGTCGATAAAGAAACTATTGCTTATGTACCTCAAAGACAAGCCGCAAAGAAAGCAGCTGCTCATATTAAAAGTGGATTGGGCAGTAAGTTGCCTGTTGTCGAGGCGAATGACAATGATAAAAAGAAGGATGGAGAAAAGGCAGATATCATCCAGACGTCACCTAAAAAGTTGGAAGATGGCAAAAAGCCCCCGTCTAAAGAGAGTTCCAGTTCCTCATCATCAAGCAGTAGCAGTTGCTCATCATCATCTAGTTCGTCTGATGACGACGATGAGGAAGAGGAAGAAGAACACGAGAAACCTGGCATGAAGCCAACAGCCAAGGCTAGAGAAATAAAGCCAGCTGTTGTTAGGCAGCCGTCAATGTTTTCGCCGCCTGGTTCTAGGCCGACAGTAGACTTGCCCTTTCTCGACAAGGTGTCAAGACCCCTGTCGTCTACAAGTGCCTCGAGTGACGGCGATAGCTCGAAAGAGTCCCGAGGTTCTGGTTCAGACAGCCCCTCACCGAAGCGACCTCGACGAAGACGTAAAGGAAAGAGTCTTTCAACAGACACATCCCCACGCAAGGCCCCTGACAAGAAGCTTAAAACTTCCGAACGGGGGTCCGAGTGTAGGGTACCATCACCGATTGTTGAAGGAGAGGAATCGAGCCGACCCAATGCGCGTGCTGCCACGCGTGCTCGGACCAGAAGCACTACTGCAAGCGGAAATATGCCTAATAAGTCTGATGCCGGATCGAGAAAATCATCTAAAGACGACACCGGTCTTGCCGCTGGGGCCAATAAAACTTCAAAAGAGAGCGGCCAGTCCCGTGAACTTCCACCTGCGGAGTGGCAAGCGAACAAGGAGGTAAAGAATGAAATCAAAGAGGAAGTGGTTACGCCTGAGTTTTCGGATATTGACACCAAACCTAAAATACATAAGACCAGAAGACAAAGTATGTACCACGACGACAAAGATAAAATAGAGATTGTTGAAACGGCACCCAGAATAAGCCCAAGGAAGAGTGCTGAATTAAAGCAAAAGGCCGTAACAACTAGAAGAATGAGTGTGAAAGAAACTGCTCCAGAAGTATCAAAACCAAAACAAAGAAGGCAAAGCAGGAATGAGGTTCTTCCTACTCAACCTTGCAAGAAAAAGATAGAGCCCCTTAAAAAGGCCTTGCTTCTTCAGAAGCCTAGAAAAATGCAGACGAGTCCAATCCCAATTCATGATGACTACTCGGATAATGACAAACACTGGTTACCAAAAGCTCCCAGTCCTAATGTTGATCCACCACCTGTAGAGAAAGCTGGTGGCCCAGATAAATACATGACTGAAGACAAATCTATGGATTCAGATTATGCTGACAAGAGTAGTAGTATTAAAATGATAGCTAAGATTCAAGCTAACTTGAACGAAAACACAATGATTAAGTCGCCTAAGACTCCAATGGATGCCAGAACAGTAACTTTAGATCACATTGATGTTGATAACCCCATATCTCGAAATATCAGAAAGCAATCTATTTTGGATGCCGAAAAGAAATTCATAACTCAAGATGCCAGTCATGTCGGACAGGGAGTGGAGATTTCAAAGAGTGCTAAAATACCATCTGCAGTTAATCAATTCACTAACCGATCCCTATTTTCTCCACAACATAAAGAAAATGAGTTGTTTGAATTAGATATGCTGGCTGTTGACGACGGCTTCAACCATGAAGATATAATGAAGCCTTTTACTGCTTATCCAGAATTTTTCTTCAAAGAAGACTCAAAAGAACAGGGTGTGCAGGAAACATTGAATCTCGTCGACAGGCTTCGAATGCAGCTAAGTACTAAGAAAGTGCCAACCGAGAAGGATGAGCCAATATTGATTGGTGATGAGAAAGAAGAAAGAGAAGATGAAAATACTGTCGCATCTAATACTTCAGAACCTGAAGTCAAAGAAGTCCCTATTGAATTCGTTGAGAAAAGATCGCCACCTAAAGATAATCATATCCCTATGAACCATTTACCTCAAACATATGCTCCTTCTGAGTTGCCTCTACCTCCTAACGAGTCGATGATGGACAGCAAAGATTACCTTCAACCTATTCCTATGACTAGTAATGACAAGTGGCCTATTATAAACACGATGGTCAGAAGTGATGTACAGGACAGGATCGATCTCACTAATGAGAGGAAATATGATACGTCTCAATACGTTGATGATGTCAAAGAGCCGTTGCCGTCGGATGTACAATCCCTATCCGAAGTCGGTGATACCATATCAATATCTAAACAAAGCGATGATTCTCAACCATTGTCTGTTGTCGACCACTCAATTACCAGCAATGATCAGGACTTGACACAAGATAATCACAATTATGAAAACAATAATTCTATGATACATTCAGATTGTGCTACGATTTCTTCTCCATATGTCAGCCAAGATTCGAAATGGAGAGAGAGCAAGATAACTACGCGAAGGTCGTCCGCTTCGAGTACAAATTCTGAAGGATCTGTTTGCTCTCAGAAGACTGATTCGAAATCTCATTTGAACAGTTGTGATTCACATCAAGGTAATGTGATGCCAGAAATTGATTCTTATCCACCTTTGCCGGCGTATTCGTGCGCTGTAGAACCGGCGTTGCCACTGAATCAGTATAGCACCTACCCAACAGACGCAACTGCCTATTTGAATTCACTTCCATTTGCGCAGTTGCCTCTACCATCGCCTGGGCCAGGACTGTACGGTGCTGGATTGCCGTTCACACCGACTGGTCTATTGCCGCCCAAACCGTTCCCACTTTGTGCGGCTTTCACGACTTCATCGCAGAATATCGCACTCACGACTCAGATGATAGCGCCGCCCACACCTAAACCCACAGACTCGCCACGCGACGACCTGGACGTTCCAAGAGATGATGGCAGTGATAAGTACATACACGTGGTGTCTAGTCCCAGTATTAGCATAGATTCATTCAATGACTCTAGCAACACTAGGCCAGCCACAAAAATGTCAAACGACAGTAATGAAACAATGTCAAGCATAATTCCAATCCAAGATGTCAAGTCACCGCCCAAAGTGGTTAAAACGACACCTAAATTTCCCGGAAAATCACCTGGCAAGAGCAGCCCTGGTATATCACCTAGGCAAGGCGATGGGCCCAAGGGCACTAAACGAGCAGGCAGTAGAAACAACCGAAGCCAGAGAGGTCGAGGTCGTTCTAAGAGTCGAGGACAAGGTGTGCACGGTTTCCCGCCTATGGTTTACATGGGTAATTCGATTCAAAATAAACTCGTTGGTACGGTCTATGATTTCAACGAAGAACTCGCGAACGACGGTGTCGATCTGAAAGCTCTTCGTGAGAGGCGTAAATCGATAGATATTAGAGACGATAGAAAATCAGAGCATTCCTACAAAGATACGTCTCCCTCACCGCGCGTCAGCCCTCTGCAGGCGAGCAAGCATACTCCTACGATCGAGACCAAAGACGTTAAACCCCCTTCTCCTCTACCTTCAGAGCATACTTCGTCCTCAGGGAAAGTGCCATCCGACCGCGGCCCCGGATTCTCTTCGGTGCAGCCGGTCCTTCCGGGCCCGGTGGATATGCGCACGTATCAGCCGTTTGAGAACGCCGTGCCTCCTGCCAGTGAGACTTACCACAGCCATCTGCTCGAGTTCGCCAGCGGCACCGCCGGCCAACAACTGGTGGAAATTGACGAGGAAGTCGAGAAGCAACTGCACACAGCACTGATGGCCAGCAAGCCGCAACCCGGCTCGGTCACGCCGGCGCCGATACCCGAGCCGAAGGAGCCTCCCAAAGAGACGTTTGTTCCGCAATTACCTAAAGTGTCGTTGTCGGATTCGAGAAACCAATTGAAAGTGAAAATCAAGGGTCCTTTCTTAGACGCCAACTATTCGGCGAGTTCCGTTCAACCCGTCGTCCCGCAGCCGCCGGCGCCCGTGCACGAGACGACCACCACCATGTTCAACGCCGCGACCGCGTCGTCGGGCTCCGGGAACCTGCGGCGCATGCGCAAGAAGGAGCTGCTGCGCCAGTACTGGACCCAGGACATGAACATGGACGACCCGGCCCACGCCGCCATGATGGGCGCCGCGCCCGCGCCCGCCGCGCCGCCGCCGCTGGCCCGCGCCGTCATCACCATACCCAAAGCCGTAGCTTCCATGACCAGCATACCCACGCGAGAAGATTACAAATTCAGCGACGCCCCGGTCGAAAAGAAGAAGCGCAAAACTACCAGTGGCCTCTCCAGAGAATTGAGGCACTTGGAAGTGAGCATGAACGACGTGGATGCATCGGATGACGTTAAACTATCAAACTTTTCGAGCAACACCAATCAGAACTACAAGAGACGCGGCCGTGTGACCGCTAAACCCAACAAGTCGAACCCCACTTCACCTCCGGTGGCTAAACTGAAGATAAAGATCGGGTCTAACATAGTTCAGCAAGTGAACGAGGAGCCTTCCAGCTTCCAATTCCGGCCGCCTAAGAAACGGCTGACGAGCATACCGAAGCCGAGCCTGGAAGATCTCCGTCGGGAGAGCATGAAGTACCGCCGAATGGTGATAGCCGAATTCGAGGAAACTGAGAAAGTGAAGAAGCACAAGCCTAACAAGAGTGAGAAACGTAAGAAAAAGAAGGACAAAAAAGCGGAGAAGTTGTTAGTGGTGAACAGTGAAAGTGAGAGTGCTACTAAATTGATAATCAAGATAAAGCGCCCCAAGGAGGAGGAGGGCGCCGAGAACGGCGCGGCGGCGGCGGCGGGCCCGAGCGGGGCGGCGGCGGCGGCGGCGGCGGCGCCCGAGCCGCCGGTGGACCCCTTCGAGTACGACCCCTCCGCGCCCGACCCGCTGGCCATCGACCCGCCGTCCTACAGCGAGTCCTCCGCGATGCGCAAGATCCGGACCGCCAAGGTGACGCCGATCCGGTTAAAACTGGCGCGCAGCTCCGCGGGCTCGGGCTACGTGATGTCGCAGCCGGGCGAGCCGGGCGCGCCCGAGGGCTCGCCGCCCGCCGCCGCGCTGCCGCTCGCCGTCAACAAGCACTGCGAAGTGAGGTGATACAACACGCGCGCTCGCTGATGCCGCGTTAACTATGCTATCTGAGTACACTCGTTAATCTCCTGTAAATACTAGTGGTTACAAAACTATTTAGAGACATCTGTATATTTTTAAAGTAACAACTATCGTCATAATGATGTAGTTTAATATATTATTTATTTGTATAAATGGAAAGCTCAATGAATAACTTAAAGTTACTCTAAGATATATGTGTATAGTTTGTGCATTGAGTGGTGCACAAGAAAAGTTTTAATATAGTATAGCAATATATATTTTTGTTAATGTTACTGTTTTACTTTGTGCCTCATATGGAATCTCATTAATGTTGTCATAAACTAATCATGTTGATGGATGGAAGTAATAGTATATCGTTTGACGCTCGCGTATCACAAGTTCGCTACAGACATCACACCGCGCCGCCTGCGCAGCCGCGCGGCGGCGGCTTCATTGCCATTCAGATCGTTCATTCATAGTTATCTCCGGCTGGTTGTGATTGATTCTTCACTTCTGTTAAAATCATTGTTTACTCACTTATAGAAGTATTGTTATAGAAATATACCGGACCACGTAACTTGAATTCAAACGAGAGCTGTGCTCTTTTACTTGTTATTCTTATGTATTTTTATGAAAGGCAAATCAACAATATAGAGATTTAGGGCCATTAAACTAAATTATTTATTTTGCATGCGTGATTATAATTATATTCCTGAAATCAATAGAATCATTATTTTCGTTGATTTCAAATATGTATATTATGTTTGTAGCCTAAACTATTTATTCTTCTTGCGCACGTATATGTACCAATTGTAAATATGATGAATTCGCTTATTTATTAAGATAATGTGTGAATATGAAACAAGGTTTGGATGCATAGTTTAGTAATTTTGGCCAGATGAGGGATTTGCAAATTGTGACTAGCTTGTTAAAATGTATGAAAAGTATACCACACGTTTGCAAGCCATGATGAGTAAGCGTTGAGCCAATCTTGGTGTCACCTTTGTCACTCACAAAAATATAGGAGTTAGCATCGATGCAGCGGATCCGAAGTGATTATTCCTGAAGATTTGCTGCTGAATGCCGACTGAATCATTGTACTAAACTACTAAACGCGCAAAACAGTTCACGCACAGCCAATACGCATACAAACATACTTTCTGATCCACTCGCGTTAGTGTTAAGGCGATTAGTGTCCTCAATCCGCGCCAAATGGGCATTTTGTAAAGCCTACTCCTCTTTTACTGCTGGACAGAAATAGTTGAAAAAAATATATGTTATACAACAGTTCAAGGACTACATTTGTGACGTTTGAATTTTCGCTACGTCTCTTTGTTTTGGATTAAAAAAATAAATACGGGACATCGATTTTTTACTTAAATTCCCTACTCCTCCAAAACGGCTATGTTAATTTAAAAGATTTTTGCACGAATAGATTGGGAATTCTTTAATCTTTAAATGACACGTTGCGTTTTTCAATCGAACATTACTTTCATTCATAAATTTTACTTTTGATAAATTCCGAACGTTTTGCTGTTGAGGGGGCCTTCGCGGGGTGCGGGCGGCAGTCGGCCGCTGGCCTTCAGACGGGGAGGTTGTGTCACTCGCTACAAACTGACATTAGCGATCAAAATGAATTTTTTCTTTGGCTAAGTTGCACCACCTGACGTGACCTAACTTTGACCGTAGCTTTGGCGATAACCGGTGTTTTTTGTATGGAGTTAGACAGACTTTTGACGCTTGTCAAAGTTGAAGTAAGATGGTGCAACCCAGCTTTTGTTCGACAATAGATTTTATGTCAGAATTGTTCATAGAGTACGTGCAGTCAGATGATACAATTGAATTATGACGCGCTCAGACGCTATTTTCTACCTGAATAGAATCTATTAGTGTAAAAAAACTATAATTGACTCCAAAACAACTGCACTAGATAAATACAAGTAGAAAAATTATTACGTTATTTATTTACTAGGCCTTTGCAATCAGTATCCAAATTAGGAGCTAGTCAGAATCTGTAACTTAATCGATTTACGTGAAGAAAACAATTTATATTTTTCATACTTATTAGAATTAGATTTTAAATATGTTTCTTCGCGAAAATACCACAATTAAAAATAACACCTGTAACGCCCCTGGGTCTGCGGGTGTCTATGGGTGACGGTAATCATTTACCAACAGGTGATCCGTTTGCTCGTTTGCCTCCTGTCAGTCCTGTCACATTAAAAAAAAATAAGATAAAGTGGTATTGAATTGTTCTATAGAGCTTATTAAAAATTTGGATACTCATTACAAAATTAGCCATTTTCGGAGTCGGTGTCGGTGTCCTACCTTTTGGTGATTCGTTTTGGAGTTGGTTTTAATTTTTAGTGAAATTAATCTATTTCATGCCTTTAGTAGACTATAGGTACCCAGTAGACCTTGTTGTTGCCACTGAAGGTGCATAGGTACTCAGTACATTGATACCATATTTTTCATGTTAAGTGCAAATAAACTTCCCTAAATTACCAAACCATGAAACGTACCTATATTATTAAAAAGTTTCGCAGATAAAAACTGAAATCCTCTTATAAGGTGATGAATTTTAGGAGCATGTCATGAAACCAAAATTATTAGCATACAAGAGCTTGTTTTAAAAAAATCTTTTTATTTATGATGGGGAATTTACTGCGGCGTAGTAGCAGAGATTTTCCGTTTGTAGATCGTATTAATTTCGAAGAATAGGGATGTTTCGTGGATAAAGCAAGAAAGTAGCAAGAGTTTGAATTAGTCCGTCGGTGAACTTACCAAAAAAAACTCTAAATGTATTTTTCACTTTTTTAAACTTATGAAAATTTAGAGATGAAGCGCACCAAAGTTCAGAAGATGAGGCACATGACGTCAAGGCATGCTTAAAAATGTGGCGATTTGTGTCGTCACGCGGAATTTCATCGCATCATATCTTAGTAATTACTTGTTTAATTGACAAATAAAAATATCCTGTGTCCAATATTTTTTGATAATGTAAAATTGACGGACCAAAAGTCTTTTTTAAAGAAACTAGCCTATTCCTATGGCCACATTCCAGCTCCATCATCAGACCCTGCAGTTTACCTTAGAGAATTGAAGACTCATGATTTTCAAAGTAGCGTACTTATATAACATTAGGTACTTGCTTATACAGGGTGTCCCAAAAACAATGGATAACCCTTCAACCATCAATAGGCCTCGCCATGGTTTCCCTAACGTCCAATTTTGACCCCAGTAAAAATATCACCGTTTTCAAGATTTTTAAGTTTTTGTGCATTTTTAGAAAATTGTAATGAAATTATTTAGGTATAATAATAAATAAATACAAATCAAACGAGCCTAAACTCGATGGAATCGTTTAATCCCGGAGTGTCTATGGGGCCACTGGCATTCCAGCTCTACCATCAGATCAGCTCCATGTCATCACAATATTGAATTGTCACCCGTATTACATGTATATCCGAAATTTTAACTCAATCAATTGATGAAGGATTTCTAATAAAAAGACAAATACATTTTCAGTTTATTCTTCGTCGAGTCTAATATTTTCTAATTATCTGTCTGACAGACAAATAATTGAAAGCTTGTAATAAAGTCGGGTTTGTTCAAATTTCGAGAACGACTGAACCGACAAAAGCATTAGAAAATTTACAAAAAATAAAATAAAATTTTATCCCGCGCAAAATGTTCATGGATTTTGTTATTTTTATTAAATACCTTTACGCCTGAGTTAAATGACACCGACATCAAGGTTCATCAATTTAAGTTTAAAATAATAGGCAGTAATGTATGAAGAAAGAGCTTCTATTCTGTATCTACCTATGCCCGTGTATTTTTGATCGGTGTCAAATCGGAGTTTTTGGTGCGGGGTGCGCGGGTGTTGCTCGCGGCGTGAAGGTCAAACGCCCAAGGTCATTGAGGACTCTAATCGCCTTAACGTTAATGATTGCTTGCTGCACCTTATTAGCCATCAACACATGTGGTGAGCTAAAACGCCCTTTGTTTTCGTATTTACTTCGGTGAACATGTAAAGGGTACTCCAAATGTGACAAATTACTTCACAGGCACTTTGATTAAGATCTCCATGTCTTACTGTTCGTTGAGCAACACCGATTTAGGAAGCGTAACGTCATTATAATTAATATTAATGCGAGCAGACACAACAGAAATCAATTTCTGGCCGCCGGCGGCTATCAATGCGTTTATACAGGGTGACTGGAACTGAACCCGCCATAGCTAATAGGCGTATAGAGCAGGTCATTTGCTAATTATTGAACCTTACTTTCTATGGCTAAAGTTTTATAGTTTAGGAGATATGTCAATTTTTATACTTTTTTCAGATTTTTCCGAAATTTGACCTNTATACAGGGTGGAAACGATAAGTGATCTCACCCGATTATTTCTAAACTATACAAGATATCGAAAAACTGGTTACTGATCCTGAAAGTGCTTCACGAGCTCTTTCAAACGGTGCTAATAATAGGTTTCAGAATAATCTGGAACTGTCCGAAAATTCAATGTTTCCAGCTTCCATACATTTGGTAAAGTTACATAATTTTAAAAACTACACAAGATATCGTAAAACTGGTTACTGATCCTAAAAGTGCTTCACGAGCTCTATCCAACGGTATCAATATCAAGTTACAGAATAAACTGGATCTATTCTAAAATTCAATGTTTCCGTCTTCCATACATTTTGTACTATCGCACTCATCTCTTGATAATTTTATAGCAAGTAAAACCTAAAAGTAATGTATTTCACAAATAATTTTAAATAAGATGCAAGTCACAAGTTTATTTAACCGACTTTTTAAGTTGATTATTTAACAAAAAAAAAATTACACTTCTAATATTGTGTCATCGCCATACATTTAGTATGGAAGCTGGAAACATTGAATTTTGGGGTAATTCCAGTTTATTCTGTAACCTATTATTGGTATTGTTTGAAAGAGCTTATGAAGCACTTTCAGGATCAGTAACCAGTTTTTCGATATCTTGTGTAGTTTAGAAATAATCGAGTGAGATCACTTATCGTTTCCACCCTGTATATTTACCGGTTTAACTTTGATCTACATTATTCTAACGATGTCTACATTTCTGATTTAAGTGTCTACCTGTGTTATTCAATGTTATTTGTGTGTAGTAATAAATGTCGTTTGTTTTAGCTGCTACAATAGAACGACTCGACTCTGAGAGTGGACGCGCCCGTGACGTGTCGCGCATGCGTAATTCGTACCACCACAAGTAGTGTTAAAGTAGTTTAGCATCACGAACGATATTATGTCAACCGATCCTGTATCGACGTTCTTGTATCGACAAACTATACATTATTCAAACACATTCTGAAAAGGAGATTTAAATAAAAATAGTTTACAGCTGGTGCTCTGATTATTTAAATGAAAACATTTATAGGTATAATAAAAATCTATGACTTTAAATGTACTTTGTCGTTATAAGAACTTATAATTTCACGATGGTTATTATAACTAACAACTCAGACAGTACTCAATCAAGCTGAAATTTTATTTAAATGTTTTATAATGATTATGAATTGGAAATGTCATTTCGGTGAATTTAAAATCATTTGAATAGTTACACTTTTGATATAACTTAACTCATGCGAANAGTTATTGAATCATTATCTAGATCTGAAATTTATTTTATTTGACTAAAGGTTTATTCGATATTAGTACCAAATAAAAAAATCGGTTAAAATCATGCGAGAAAAAAAATTTAGGCAGGTTTTAGGTCAAATTTCGGGAAAATCTGAAACAAGTATAAAAATTGTCATATCTCCTAAACTATAAAACTTTAGTCATAGAAAGTAAGGTTCAATAATTAGCAAATGACCTCCTCTATACGCGTATTAGCTATGGCGGGTTCAGTTCCAGTCACCCTGTATATTCGGCAAGTCTGCAACTATAACGTCCGTATTCACAAACATTACTGAGGTCTCACAGTGCGCGTGGACGCACAGGGTTACACACGAACCAATCACAAAGGTCTATTCAACGCGGTGCGTTCGATTTGCTACTTCACATATACAAGTATCGTTTGTGAATACAGGCGTAAGTGTCAAGGCATAGTAATGATATGACAGTATTTCTTCTGCACACCCTGTAGTGAGCGGGCTCTGTGCTGAGATATCGGCTAATATAATAACATCTAAAATATCA